ATCTCTGATTATTATTATTATTATTATTATTATTATTATTATTATTATTATTATTACTATTATTATCATTATCTTTATCTTTATCATCATTATTGTTGTTACTGTATTAATTTTATTAACATTGTCATCATTATTTTCTTCATTTTCACATATCACAAATATCATATTAGAAATATCATCCTTATCATAATTATTCTTTATCATTATTATCATATAACCAATATAATTCATACTATAGTCCACTTTATTACATGATTATTGAGTATATACAGCTATAAAAAAAAAGGATTCAGCTGTACAGCTAAAGTGTATATAATACTTGAGTGAACAGACGTAAATGAAAAGAACGTTACCTCCTCTCTCTTCAACACAGACATAGTTGGTCTCATTATAGCAAGATGGCGTTTTTTCTTGGGTGATTGTGACTTCTGAGAATCTGTTGACTTTTCTCCTGTGCTTTTTTCCCGGTTACCTGATTTACTAAATTCACTATAGCTAGAATTGGTTTCAGTACTTTTGTCTTGATAATCTGGTTCATTAAATCCACTAAAGCTAGAATTTGTCTCACTGCTATTTCCAAGATTTATATAAATGTCTTCAGAATTTTGGTGTTCTCTGCCTGCAATGGCCCAAACATGGCCTGTGATTTTCAGTGACCTACTTTGTTCTTCAGCTAATTCTTCAATAAAAGCTTCTTTATTTAGCTTGCATAATAAATTTGATTGTTTTGTGACTCCTTCCTCTGAACCTTCAAAGGAACTTGCATCCATTTCTTCCATTTTTGGAAACTGGCTGTTACAATTTATATCTGTTATATTCCTATCTGCAATGGAATATAACATTATGTATACTCAAGTTAGAGTGGATTAACAAGCTCATTTGTCTACCACCTTAGACCAATATTATAGTTTGTAATCCTCTCTCAGTAAATATGAAGTGCATAACTTTGAATGAGGTGTTAAAAAACAGATGAAAAACTTTTTCCATACAAACCTGTGTCTAAAAATAACTGTCTTTCACATCTATGCTAAATATATATATCTCAGTGGATTTATATTTATAAGTAGTAGAAATTATATTAATTTTATACATGCAAATCTGCAAATGAAGTCAGGTTAGACCTTTCCACCACCCCCCCCCCTCTCTCTCTCTCTCTCTCTCTCTCTCTCTCTCTCTCTCTCTCTCTCTCTCTCTCTCTCTCTCTCTCTCTCTCTCTCTCTCTCTCTCTCTCTCTCTCTCCCCCCAACACACACACACACACACACACACACACACACACACACACACACACACACACACACACACACACACACACACACACACACACACACACACAAAAAAAAAAAAAGCATGTCCACATATCTGTGTGTGTGTGTGTGTGTGTGTGTGTGTGTGTGTGTGTGTGTGTGTGTGTGTGTGTGTGTGTGTGTGTGTGTGTGTGTGTGTGTGTGTGTGTGTGTGCGTGCGTGCGTGCGTGCGTGCGTACGCAATTCATGTCGAACAAATTGCAAGTAGAACAACGAAGGGAATTAGAGGAAACACACGAATATGCCGAAGGCCTTTTCGCATCAGTAAATGCGAAAAGGCCTTCGGCATATTCGTGACTTTTCCTGTAGTTCCCTTCGTTGTTCTACTTGCAGGGCATGAGAGTGTGCGCGTGTGCGCGTGTGCGTGTGTGCGCGCGTGCCTGCGTGTGCGTGTGTGCCTGCGTGTGCGTGTGCATACCTACCGATCTCACTATCCATAGACACAGACACCTATTGTACATTAGTATTAGTATATACAAATCTGCGGCCGAGTCTCGGATGCACGCATAAGCGTGTGGTTAAGTAATCGCAAATTATTTTTGAGAAAAAAATAACACAAAATAAATATTGTTCATACCGAATCGAGCTACACCAGAGTGGCCTTCTTAGCAGTTCCAACAGTTGGCGAAGAGGAGTTCATGAGCTAATATTGACTTAACTTGTGCGTAACTCCGCTGATCACCATAGATCTTTGAAATTATGAAAGCCTGCTTGCATCACTATTTATTGATGAAGATTCTTCTAATAACTTCATCAAAGAAATTTTTCATGGCAGAGATTTTATAAATAACACAATCAAAAAATAGGATTGGTCCTTCATAATAATTGTCAATAGATGTGGAAAAAAGTACTTTAAGTGGAAGTCAGTGCCATACGCTGACGCCCTGTGCATGTTGGTTAAACTCCACATTTCGAATATATATATTTGACATTTTTCGTTTGAAAAGTTTGAAAATAAAAAATGCATAGCATTTACTCATCTGCCTTCCACCAGCAGCGTGACCACGGGGTTATGACCTCAACAATTCAAACTATTGGAGGCAATTGCAAGTCTTCTGTCTAGCATTCTATAATAAAGATACCACTTTTTCGATATACTACTAAGTTTTCTCCACTATAATGTCGAAGCACCCAGTACTGATACCGAGTACTATAGTGCCCACTATAGCTTATTTCGAGTACTATACAAAATATAATTGCCTACATCACACAGTCCATTGCTAAGTATATTGCTCATGGTGAAATACAACAGCCTCCAGTATTTTGTTTATTCTCGTCTCTCTCTCTCAGTATCGTTAACAGATCGAGGGGCTTCAGTCATTCAGTTGCCTAAGGATAACTTTCTTTTTGTCTCTGCACAACACATTCAGCCCTAGTTACTGTCTAGTAAAACTAGCACAGTAGGATATGCAGAGAACACTGTAATGTTTAATATTCAATTCTGAACAAGTTTCATTTCAGTCATGAGTCGACAGTCATTTTTTTGTACCATTGACTTTTCTGACCTCTCTCAAGTAAAATATCTGACCATAAGCATAAAATGTATTTGTGGAGGGACCGCCGTCAGCATTAAGGACCCTGTCTATTAAGTGATAAAGGGACAACAATATCACATAGTTTGGCAAATGCCTTGTGTTATGTACTTCTAGTTCATTGGATGTTTCACTTAACTTATATTGCTAGTTTTCTTGGGGTTTGCACATTCTAGGTTTTCTAACAGTTCAACTCCTCAAAAATATAAACATGTATAGTAGCCAATCTTCATACAAGCACTTAACCTAGCTAACTAGCTACAATCAGAAGAGAAATGTACAGTCTGCGGTGGTATAGTCAGTCATTTAATTAGCCATTTTTAGTATGTATGCACCCTTTCACTCTGGATTATCGAAGTCTATGATTTTTCAGAAATGTAGTGTATGCAACATAATCTTACTTTTGCAGTGTTGATTTACAATTTCAATTCATGAGATCTAAGAACTGTAATAAATATTATGTTTTTTTTTCAGATAATTAATACATAACAGATATAAACCCAGACTTACTGAAGGAAGACCTAAAAGTTAATGGAGTTCTGCAGCTACTTTGCAGTCACTCGTGAAGCCAGCCTTTTTTTTTTTTTAATTAGACAATATCTATTCTTTGGTATTATTTTATAAATCTTCCAAAAATGAATTTCAATGATAGAAAGTTTTCTTTCCTTTTAATTTCTCTTTCCTTTAACTTTTCTCCTACATAATAAAAAATATTAATTCTAGCTGTATGTATTTTTAGTTTTTTAAATATTAGAGTAAAATGTATCTCTATGAATCAAGGATACCTGAAATATTAGTTAGGTAAATAAACAATTACATTGTACTGCAATTGCAATTAGTATGGTCATTGAAGGAAAGACAAAACCTGTTGTTAAATGTGGTTTATATTTCAACCTTTATACATTATCTGTATTCCATCCTACAATCCATAAATTAAAAAATAAATGTACATATATTACAGATACACAATAAAGATGGTACTTCTTGGGATGTTACACAGAAATCTTCTAACATTAATCAATCAAAACTTGGCAATGATGTTGTAGATTTACTTTTTGTTCCATTCTTCACGTTCCTTTCTTTCCCTTATTACTTCCTGGAGGTAAGGCTGGAGATAACGTCCATTGGAGTGGTCCTGGGGATTGGAGTTAGTTTTTGATTTATAAAATATTCTATAACAAGCTCAATAATAGTCACTTCTAAATATCTTAAATTAAATTCTTGATTTCTGCCACTTATTTCTGATGTTTACCTGTAAAGGGCTATGAAATAATTAGGAAACAATAAAAAATATGCCTAGTCTTTCTTGATTTGGGAAAGTAGAAATTATCACAAATATCAAGAATAGGAAATTGTATCATTTTTAATCCTCCAACCTAGTCCAGAGTGCTGTTAAATATGTACTATAAAATGTTTATGTAAATCATAATACTGCAAAACTTCACATAAAATATTTCAAATGCACCATACCTCCTCATAAGAAAACCATTCATCCTTAGGCAGGACAGTCTTGGTCATAGAAAGATGGATAGCCCTATGCATCCTATAGTGGCGATCATCCTTGAGGTTCTGAGGCAGGCGACGCAGAGCTTCTTTTACATCATCATTCTCATATAAGCAGTCATCATGGAACAGACCTAAGCAAGAAAATAGAATTGTCTTGTTACTTATAGGCTTCAAAATTGCAATTATAAACATATTTCTTTGTTAACTCCCTAACATCAGGTCACAATAAATTGCATCTTGGTGAACAACTTGATGACACCAAATGACCTCTATATATTTCCAGTGCTTGAATGGGAAAAACTTACGCAAGTACAAACAACTCTACTATAAACACTGACAATAGTTTATTAAGCCTTTCATAGGGTTTGGTAATTTATTATTCATGTATTAATCTATGCATGAGCATTAGTACAAGAACTTGTGATAGTGCTTAGTGTAGCCATCATTTCCAGAGCACAGCTTCTTAAATGAAACTTGTACATCTAACACTTACAATCGTATTAATATTACTTACCATACTGGTTATAGCCAGACATGCGGAAAACAAATCTTTTCACAGAATTGCTCAGCTGGCCTGAAACAAGAAATAGTATTTAAATGTATATATGTACAATTTATCAAAAATGTTAAATTATATGAACAGTGTTGACTAATAATGTGACAAATACTCATTCACTAAACAAACTAACCCCTATAAAAAGAATTACAATGATTTACATGTAATCTGTAACCATCTCCCAACTTTACTCTACAGTTTATAATTAATTTAATTAACTAAAAGCCATACTCTAAGAGTAGAGAATCAAAGTTTCCTTTATGAGATTCATCAAAATACAAGGGTATTCTAAACAGTAAAACTCACACACATAAAATATAATCATGTGGCTATCACTTATGAGTACTTAGTATACAGGATAAAAATTTGGTAATATAAATCCTCCTAAAAGGGGAGAGGGAGGGATTTAAAAATAGTCCCTGATATTAGCTATATCTTCTTATATTGTAAAATGTACCTAATAAATAAAATGATAAGACATTTTTCCTCTATAACTGTTGTTACAACTTTAAAAGAAAAAAAAAAAAAAATTAAACTATAAGCTTGACCACTGTCTATATGGTTTGTAGACCTCCTTGGGGACTTATTGTAAAATAAGATACCAGTCTAACCTCTCTCTTGCCAGAATATACAAAAGGAGTAACAAGGCCATGCAAAGCTATAGCCTTCGTTTGATCACATACAGTACTACTTATATATCCCTATTATTCCAGCCACTCCTAGGAAATACGCAAACATAACGATATGAACAAAAAATCTTCCTGACCCAGGGGCTTCGTCCCCAGACCCCATCTGATTGCCATTCTTCCCTATCAGGGACTCTTCCTATGGACTTAACTTTCAAGGACCATTAGTTCCAATCTATTCTTTTCATTTCTATCATTTAGATAACTGTATAGATAACTTTATATATCAGGAAGTATAGTTTTTACCTTTCTTAATGATAGTGTCATTACATTTTCCGTGTAACTATAAACCAAAGTATGGTATAATTTCAATTTAACGCTGCCACATAGTACAAGGTAAACTTTGCCTGTAATGGATAGAAAGACTTTTCATCTGTGGGATTTCCTTTGCAAGTTGTTAACATGAAAGTTGTGGAACACATATTATTTTAGTATAAAAATACATGAAAATGTAATGACACTACCAGACAGAAATGGAAAAACTACATTCACTGAAATTACATGAAATATTAAGTGCATGCAAAGAATATCAGAAATGAAAAAGATAAGCTGTGGCTAATGTTTTGCAGATAGTTATTCCACAGTGATTAGGTGGGGGTTTAGAGCTTAAGCCCCTGGGTTAGCAAAGGTATTGGATTCTTACAGGGAAGTTTGTGGATTTCCATGAGTGCCTAGAGTAATGGGGGCTTAGTCTCAGATGGTTGCAGTCTTTTTGTAATCAGTTACCAATACTTTAATTTATATCATTTGTAATGGAAACAACAGACAGACAGATTTTCTATCTGTAAACTGGCAAAGTTTACATTATACCATATGGATGTGTGAAACAAACTATACCAAACGTGGAAGCCACTTTTGATTTACTGTCAACTGTTAACTGATACAAATAATAGAAATGGCATTGCACAATTGATGCAGTGACAACAAACATATAGGTATCACAATACAGTTACAGGTAAATATTCACAATAACTTTACATACCGATCACAACAGTGGAAATAATGGATTCCTCTCTCTTTCCTACTCTAGTGCCCATACATATAGAAATTATGCCATAAAACCCCCTACCCCAATACCAAAAGGAGGGCATGAAAGGAACTAGAGGAACTGCTGGGTAAATATGAATAATATACACAAAATTGGTCCATCTAGAGTCAACGATCCCCCCAGCCCTTGTACAAGACTACAAAGAATACCTGACTTATGGCAGGCCAGAGTGAATCACACAGATACAGGAATGTACAAAGAGTATCAGCATGATAAACTGACTAGAATGTGGGATATTCCAGATCACCAGCCATTATCAATAAGTTTGATAAATTATCATTCCTAGGCTGTATCTTGCTGTGTTCACCCTGCAGGTCAGTCATGTACTCTGTTCTACCATGAAAATGTGGACAATTCTGTATCTTCTGAAGCAAGGGTTGGGGGGGGAGTCATAGGGGGTACATCCACCAATGTTAAACAATATAGTACTTATATTGTGTACGTCATAATTATTCATACATAATAATCACATTTCATCCCACAATTTCCCTGGTACCTTTCATGCCATCCACTACTACCAGGGCCAGGAATTTGAGGGGTTTCCATAGCAAATGTCCAATATAAATGGGTAGTAGAAAGAGAGGAATCCATCAATACCACTATCACCGTGATAGGTCTTGCAAAAGTATTCTAACCAACTTCCCAGTTAAATCTATGGAATATGAAATGTTAACATAAATGTCATTAAGAATTATGTAAGTTTTTCTTATTACCACAATCAATTATTATCACAAGACTTATAATAATATATAGTTTTGGTTAATGTTACCCAGAGCATTGCACAGAGATAGAGGGAAAAAGACACTGCCATGTAGGGTGCATTTCATGCACTTAGGCCTGAAGATCTCCGGCGTGGAGTTAGCTGTCCTGTCAGCGTGGCAGTGTGGATTTAGCCTAAATTATATTCCT